TCCCAAATTTTTTAGGTTTTCATTTAGATATCCTGTATCTCCGCAAGGTATTACATGGCAAAAGTTTGCCCAACCTCCATCAAACAGCCAGATGGTATAAATCAAGGAGGTTCTAAAGTGCAGAATGCGCCCTGGAGGAAAACGTTTTGAAGGACAGAGTCAAACACAAAAATTAACTTGCTGTCAATATAGAGCCATAAGTCAACACAAAAATTAAAGCATGGCTTCAAATATACTTCCCAGAGTCTAGGAAACAAAAGTGACTGCAGCTTTAAAGTATGTCTGAACCAGAACCTAGAGCGGTCAACAGTTCAACCAGTTGAACTGGCCGGTTCAGTCAGGTTTCAAAAACATTGCTTTACTAAACTTCTTATTAAATTCCTATCTCTCTTGATTTTCTCCGAAACCTGAAATAAAATTAAGGTTATTTTCATGCAGCTTCCCTGAAATAGGCACTTACATCCCTTGCTGTCAGCACAAACAGACGGAATCTTCCGTTAATTAACCATTTAGGCTAAACACAATGTCCATAATGACCCTTGCAAAGTAAAACTTCGAATTAAGAATAAAAAAATCTTCATCATTCATTTATTTATTCAAGTTCGTGCACACATAGTGGTGTTCCATTGGTTCCATTTTTTGAGTCAAAAGTCAATGTGATACTTTCAAACCACACGCACTCTCTCCATGCCCCTTACAATAGCATGTGTCAGCAGACACAGCACACGAGCATGACACTAAATGCAACAGTAAAACCTCTGCATTTCAGATATGAAAATCACCTGGTCATAAAGAAGGCTAGTCTTGTCAAAACGCTTTCGTGCTTCCTGCAGCAAGACAAGATCCCTTATAAACTAATACAACTTATATTACGAAAGAGAATAAAATTGTTGTTAAAAAACGGATGCACTAAAAGCTTAAGCTGTTAGAGGAAATGTGATTTACATTCTTAGATCATCAACACACCCCCGCAAATGTGGCCAGAATACCCTCCATGAGTGGCCCAAACACATGTATAATACTATCCAATAGTTGTTTAGATTCAAGACCATAATTGGTTTACTCTGATACCATGTTAATTACAAGCTAGCCCAAAAGTTAAATATTCTAAAAGTATGACTCAATCATCGCTCAAGTAATCTGCAAAGGAAGATATTCAAGACAGGGAACCAGAGTTGTATAAATAAGAAGCACTGGGTAAGGTATGGACTCAGTTAACTGTTTCAAACTCAACAAGATCTCACAGATAACCGGTAAGCTAAGAGGCCTTTGCTAAAGTTGAAACCCAGCTACTTGTCACTAGAATTCTTGCATTTAGGTTATCCAACATGATAAATTACTAAGAGTGAACCGTAATTAGAAAGTGAGTGTGCATGGGTTTGTGAAGGAAACCTCTGCATTCTGCAAAGAACTGGCTGCTAGAACATTCCCCATGCCCTAAAGATGTGAAAAGTGAACTACGTAAAAAAGAAATACATTTAAAAGCCCAAGAGATTCATAAATGCTATTCTAACATAAACGCTGAAGTAATCTGTGTATGAATGCAGTCCAGTAAATAGCTGTCACTGAATTCACTATTACATTAAGAGAGATACAGGGATATAATTTTCAGCCAGTTTTAGCAAATTTCTGCTCCATTCACTAAAGTAAGATATCATTATATACCATTGATACCCAAGCTAAACAGAATATTGGACCAATGCACCCAGAGAAGTACACTGGCAAAGCTCTGCTATTATTCATGACTCATTCCGTTCAATGGAAGATAATATAACAAGACATGTCAAACAGAGTTGAAGTTGGCAAAATTTAGTACCTTGACATCATGCAAATCTATATTGACAAATTGCAGCAGATGGTCATTGAGCATGTGCTCAACCTGAAACCAAAATAAAAAAAATGTCACACAAGAAAACAACCTCTCTATCCAAATAAATGAGAAACATCATATGGATAATAAATAAGAAAAGGTAGCTCCTCTCTCCTTTTTTCCGGGTAGGTTGGGGGTGGTTAGAAGAAAAGCTCATGCTCAAAAATGTTATATTAATAGTAGATGTGAATCTAACCACTAATACTTTAGGTCACTATCAAGAACTAAGGTCGATTTTGGTTTTGTTTCCAAAAATTGCTTTTTATTCTCCAAAAAAATCAAAAATAACATTCCAAAAAAAAAAAATGATAAGGAAAACTTGTTAGGCAAATTGTTTCCAATAACTGTTTTGGATCTTCTTTTTTTTTTTTTTAAATAACCCATTCTTAACAAACAACTTTAAATTGTTTTTTGAATTCTCAAAAAAATTGATTCATAAAAAATTGAAAATGATATGAAAACAATTGCGTTTTCAAACTTCTCAATGTTTTTATTTCCAAAAACTTGAAAAAAAGAAACCAAAATGAAATCAAACACGCCCTTCCTCTCTTCTCTTCCTCCACAGTGGCTCAAGAGTACACAGGTTTGCTCTGGAAAATGTAGAAAATTGCAATGATGTCAAATTAATTTACCCTACCAATTATAATTATCAAACCCAATAGATCATAGAAAAATGTCCTTTGAGAAAGAGTTATACAAATTTAAACAAGCCAAGTTCTCTTTATAAGTGTAAAATACAATTTGCATTTGTAAAATGATTTAATCCAATGTGGTTGGTACACATACATGAACACCAATGAAGCTCCTATGAGCACAAAATATTAAGCAGCACTGATGTTATTACTTGAACTGATATGTGATTGTGGAAAGTATGTGAGACACAAAAGGAGGATCATGTGTCGGTCATGATAAGTGATAGTTAATCCCAGCCACTGTCCAACCTTCTATGAATCAAATAGCCCTTTGAAGTTTTTTGATCGACCAAGATGTAATGTGGTTTTTTTTTATTTATCTTGAACACAGATCGCATATGAAGAACCAAAATTTTATTACAAAAACAATACCAAATAGATAGGAAAGAAGGAAAATGTGTGGGGAAAACAAGAAGGCAACTGAAAAAACATACAGAGAATCACATATAAAAAGGACGTCAGAGTTAAAGGAATTCACTTAACTGCAAACCTAAATAATTGCAAAGAAAATTAAACAAGGACCAAGAGATAGTAACAAAATCTATTCAAAGATAACATTCAAATCATATTTGGCAAGCAAATTGACGACCATTACATTGATTATGCTAAGTAAAACTGGTAACCCTGCAGCAATCATATTTTGAGGGTTCCAACAACAAAAAAATAAAAATAAAAAATTAACCTGGGATCTAAGAACTTCCTTGTATGTCCCAATTTCCCTCAATGCAATTGTAAATTTTGTCATAACGGGGCCTGCAAAAGCAAGCAGAATTTTTCCATCAGTGGCATCACTAAATATTACCTTTTGCATATCACTAGCCATTAGAGAGCTCATTCAGCATCATCCAAATCCTAATCAATGAATTGGATTCAGCATTTACAATTTTCCACAGAATTTAGCATGACCTCGTGTAGTAACAAAATTTCTGTGCATGACATGGTTAAAATTTAGAAGAAAAATAATGTTTAAATTTCAAAACCTCGTGTAACTTGAATTGACCATGGTTGTAAGCAAACTTCCAATCAATTTCTCTTCTAGCATGACCATGTACTGTATATGACATGATTAGCACACTGGTGTTTAACTTCTAGCTCTGACAATGCAACAGTTAATTCATTTATGAATATTGTTCATTACTCTTCAGTGGATTGAAGCTAAATGTATTTGACACAACTAAAACCTTGACTAAGATTACTCTTCTCTATTTATATTGTTAATAATAAAAGGACATTACAATCTTATACTTCTAAATAGTATTCATGTTTGGTTCCATTTTTCTAAACCCATTTTTTTGAAAATTTTGAAGTTTTTGTTTGGTTATTTTGAAAATGGGATAAAGTTTTCAGAATCTTGGTACAACTTTTGGAGGGAAATTTGACAAATTTTTGGAATGTGACAAATTTGACAACTTTTCAGAATCTTTTTCAGAATGTGACAAAAAAAAAAGATTAATTGGTCAATGATCTAGCCCTCTCTCTCAATTTTTGGAGAGACATTTGAATTTTGGAGGGAAATTTGACAAATTTTTGGAATGTGACAAATTTGACAACTTTTCAGAATCTTTTTCAAAAGAAAAATGCTTGGACCCCCAATTTTGGGGACCCCCACAACCCCCAAAGTGATCCACACCACTCATGTATGTGTGAGGCCCACATCATGAGTGGTATGAATCACTTTGGAGGTTGCGGGGGTCCCCAAAATTGGGGGTCTCTATCATTGTTGTTTTCAGAATGTGGCAATTTTTTTTAATTTTAATTGGTCAATGTATCTAGCCCTCTCTCAATTTTTCGAAGGAAATTTGAAATTGCATAGTGCATTTTTTTGAAAACCAACTATATATCCATTTTCAAAACAAAATTTTCAAATAACTTTTTCAAAAAATAACTCAAAAAAACAAAACCAAACATAGTGATTGTTTCCTGACACTCCCCATTCCCAAAAAAGAAAAATAAATAAATAAATAAATTAGCAAGAAAACACTATAGCATATAGATGTATCATGCCTCACTTCACACATAAATCAAAGAACCAATCCTTTTCATAAATAAAAAAACAATGCCCAATTAATAGACATTGATGTGTGTTTGGAAGAGGAAAGATTGGGTACACACCTAACTTTTGGCAAATATATTTAGTAAATATTTCACCTAAATAATCTTCTAGCCTTTTTTCATTTGTTAGTAAACTAATATTCTAACTCAACATACATTGTGACAATTTGCTATTCCATTACTACATTTCTAACAAATTTATAGTCCAACTTGATATGATTTATTCTCTCATCAAACACAAAATTAGTAACAATGTAAATTGCTGCCTGATTATCACAAAACATCCCAATGGATGTGATAGTTATAAATCTCACTCACTGTAGAAACTTAATCCACATCATCTCACACAACTGTATGAACCAAGCTCTCTACACAGGCTCTACACTTGATCTGGCCACAACAACATTCTCCTTCTTACTCTCTCATGTAAATAAATACATTTCTAATCTTTTATATTCATACACTCACTTGCCCCCCAAAAAAAAGCTTGGCATACCCGTGGCTCATCATAATTCAGTGTTGGCTCTGATACCGTGTTTGTTTAGTCGTTGAAGTTAATTAGAAACAAAGAAGAGAAAGTAACTGCTAGGAGAGGAGGAAGTTTGGGTGGCATTGCCCAAGAAGGGGCAATTGCTTGTCAGGCAGTCATAGATGTTCCCAAAGCATCTGTGGAGGAAAGGGAGGGTAGGCAAATCTTGGGTGTTGACGGCTGAGATTGTGGACTCCAGAGTTAGGAGTGGGAGGTTGGGCCTTATATGTAAGTTGGATATCGAGAAAGCATACGACCATGTAAACTAGGACTTCTTTCTGTATTGTTTGAAGAGAATGGGATTTGGTCCAAATGGAAGGATTGGATCCATTTTTGTATTTCCTCTACATGATTCCATAATTATCACAAAACTCTTATCTCTAGACTCTATAAACACAAAGTAGAACATAAAATCAATGAACAGAAGTCACAAAACTTTTTATTATGTTCATAATCTTCTAAATTTCAACAAATTAGTCCCCTCAATCAACATTCATAAACACCATACATAGTACTCAAGAACATCATATTAATATGAACTCATTCATATGGCAGGTATCTAATAAGAGATAAAACTGCTGAAATGCGAAAAGCTATAACATGAACAAGCTTGAATCTGTACACTAGATGATTTCAAAGGAAGTAATTAAGAAGAAAGTAATCACGAATACTGACCTTTCAGTAACATAAAACCAGGAGCAAATGAACCAACATACATCCACCTCACTACCAAAATTAACTTTCAAGATAACAATCCAATATTTAGACATACCTCCAAAAGCCACACTAATGGGATCATTATGCCCTCCACCAAAAGTTTCTAGGGCACTGGCAAAAGCAATGTCCCCATCGTATCCCTCACCAAGCCCTTCACTGCAAGTTAAACAACACACATAAACACCACTATCACTTACTATAAAATACAATAACCCGAAAATATTTTACCAGCCATCTTATATGATAGCACAAAATACCAAAATTAACAAGTTATTGATACCTTACGTTCTCTGGAAGACAAGGAGCTAATTCCAGCTAACTAAGAAGTTCATGCAGAATCACAAGAAATCTATTCCTTGAAATTCGTTTGGGTAGTGGCTAAAATATCCAAAAAGTCACTATAAATTGTCGCATCACTCTCTCCTTTTCGGCAAGTCTTTTAGTAAAAAGCCAAAAAAACCAACTAAAATAACAATTCCCAAACAAGCCCTCAAATATCAACAAAATACGAAATTTCTAGCTAAGGATGAGCAGGGATCATAATTTCGTTTTGGTATGTTCTTTCGATTAGCTTGAAAAGATAAACATTTCAAAAATATTTTGAAAATGTTTCCAAACCAAACCAAACCTTAAGTCCCATCAAATGGGTTCGGCTAAAATATTTCAAAAATATAAGAAATGAAAAAAGAATTTGGAAATGTATGCAAATGTTTAGGGGAAAAAAATATAATACCTATATAAACGGTAATACATTCTCAATGATTAAACATGTTGAGGTTGATGCAAGTGGACAATGGGATTGGTCTCCCAAGTTAGTCAATCCAATGGACCAGATACTGAGTTATAAGAAGAAAAAAAAAAGTTAACAAAGAAAAGATTTTAAGACGTAGATAGGGAAAGGGCTTGCTATTGCGAGAAAAAAAAAATGCAAAATTCTACTAGTATTAGAGATTAAAAAAAATAAAAAAAACAATAATAAATTTTTTTTATTAAAAAACCATTGACAATCTTTATAAGAAAAGTGCTTTGCAGTAACAAAGCAAAAGAATGAATCACAGACACCTCTCCAGAGGTGACGTAGAGGTGTCCGACACATGTCGGACATGAACATGCGCCGGCCATTTGTTGAACATGTTAGGACACAATGAGGACGTTGAGACATGCTTGAGACACATTGAGAACATGTTAGAGACACAATGAGGTCATTTTTTGCGAGGAAAAAAAATTAATTTTTTTTAACTAAAATAGGGATGACCAATAGTTCAATGGTAAAACCTTGACCTAATTACCTTGAGGTTATGGGTTCAAGTCTCGGGATAACCACTTTGTGCATTATACCAAAGGCTAAATGTGTACTCAATTTTTTCTCTCCCAAACACACATTAATGTGTACTAATTAGGCACTATTTTTTATTTTTTTTACTAAAATAGCATACCTAAGGTTGATAAATTTAACAAAATTAAATATTTGACCAAAAAAAAATATTAAACATTTAAAAATATGATATATAATAAATATTTAAAATTATATGTTTTGCACTTACCCCCAACATGTGTTGTCCTACATTTTTCAAAATTTTGTGTGTCCGTGCTTCTCAGATGAATAAATGACTTAATCATGCTTGTTTCATTTTCTCCTCTCTATCTCTCATCTTCTCCTTTCTAGTTACTCAAATTTTATAATAAATTTAAGATTTTGCTTTCTTCCCACCTTTCTTTTTTTCTTTTTTATAACAAGTTTTCTCTCCTTGGGGGGGGGGAAGGAGGGGGGCAAAAAGAGGCCAATAAAAATGACCCCTCTTGGATATTCCTAATAAGTGCCAAAACAACTCAATTGTTTCAATATGTTCATCAAAACACTATATTTCAGTGGAAACATCAGAATTTCGGTATTCCACTAATATTTCACTTCGGTTTCTAGGAAACAAAAATATTTTGGTCATTTTGATAGAAAGGAAGCGAAATTTTGTTCCTTGAGGATGAGTTCAAGGGGATAACAAGCAAATTAGATTTTGCTAATGTAAACTTTGAATTTTCTTTTATTTTAATTCTATCTATCTTTCTTTTGCTAAATTTTCTTTCAATTGTGCAAAGAAATTAAAAAGTTGAGCACAACTATAGGAAAATATTGATTCACATCCTTCTGAAAATAGATCAGTGGTTGAAAATTAGAGGACGAACATGAAACTATCATCTCAATGAAGGGTGACCCTCAAACTACAACCTAAAGTCAAACGGCTATAAATTGAAGTGTGACTAGTGGTGCCTAATCAAATCAAAACAGCAACATCTCAATTTTATGCAAATGAATGAATGAATACATAAATAAAGCAAACCAATATAATTGAAACTCAATTGCAAGATGACACATTCTTAAAAACTCAAAAATATAAATGGAATGTTCAACTAATAGATCAGGGAAACATTAAGACACACTATTTGAGTATTGACAATGTACTCACGTGTATTTTCGACATCCTTTGTAAAATTTTAAACTTCTTTCCCTCAAGGATTCAGCACTTTCCTCCAAACTTTGTATCTGTTTTGCCAAAGAACAAATCAACATAACATCTCACTATTTCAATAGAAAATAAAGCCTATAAAAAACCAATGGGTATCTTGGAAGCAATCACAAGAGCTTGTGCCCAAAACATATACAAGGTGGCAAACACACTTTCCTTTTTTTTCTTTTTTCTTTTTTGGGCAACGAAAAATTTTATTGTGAGGAAGCAAAAACAAACTACAAAGAGAAGACAAGGAATCTGCTCCAGAAACCAACGGCCACTACGTTAAAATATATATATATATATACAAATACCCTATAACATCACAAACAACTTTCCAATCTCTAGAAATGAAAAAGAAAGGGATACCCTGAAAATGAGGCAAGGAAGATGCCCAAATCGCTGCCCAATGACGTACTTTTAACCCACAACACCTCAAATTTGTCCTAAAAAATTCTTGCATTCCTTTCCAACCAAATACCCCAAAAGATGGCAAAAAGTTACAAACACATAGCCCGTGCCGGATGATTTAATATAGAAGCTGCCAATATAGCTACTTCGAATAGCCAGATGATATGGCATAGAAGCACCAAATACAGCTACTTCGAATGTGCAAAATCCCATGCAAGTACAAAAATGATCAGAGGGCCATATTTAGGTCAGCCTAAATAGTATATAAGCAAGGTTGAAGTTTGTAGGGTGGGCAAAAGTCAAAACACAGTGTGTTAGAAAAATGTGAAGATATAGAGCGTGCAGAGATGGCAATAAAACAAAGTTTATGTTAAAAGCAGCTATTTATTAGAAAGAATCCACGAAATAATAACTGCATGTACAAGGCCAAATCAAAAGTTTGCATCACAGATAATCAGAGATCTCTCATGTCTAGCAATGATAATTCACAAAGACAGAAAATGCATAACCACAATTCTTCTCTTAATGTCATTGATGCGAACAAAATGTAAATCATAGGTTGTTACTATAGTCTAAATTAAAAATTATTGTGCAGAAGTGATGCAGGAATCCTTTCCCCATGTCAGTATTTAGATAGCTCAACCCGAATGAATGAAGTTGTCAAAAATGCTATTTTCAAGAAGAATATGCCCAATACATTAGAGTTTTTAACTTAAGAGCTGATCGCAGGCCTTTCAGACACTTGAACAACAATAGAATCATTGATTAAACCCAAGTTCATCAGGAAAAATTGATGCAGTTAACTTTGAAAGTTGTTCGAAATATTCCAATCAAGTGTATGGCACAGAGGGGCATAACAAGTTTTCTCTCCTAGTTTTAGCAAATTGAGTTAATTAAAATGTAAATTATATTTGAGCAAGCTAAAAACATAGCAACTACACATAGAATTAATCCAAAAGAAAACCCAAAATCGCAAATTTATGGAGCAGAGCCTCAAATCCTGCGAGCTTCGATACAGCAATTGCATGGCCCATATATATATATATATATAGAGAGAGAGAGAGAGAGAGAGAGAAAGAGAGATATGAGGCGACAGACCTGTTTACGGAACATAGGAGAATCGTCGAGCTTTGTGAAATGCATGTCTGCAACAGCAATTGATCCTCGTGTCTGTTGTAGTATAATTACTAAATAAATATCACATCAATGTTCGATCTTCAGAGATGGAGCCAGTGGAGCTAACCACAGAAAATCCAATCGATGCTCTGGAAAACAAGTCAAGATCTCTCATTTTGCCTCCGATCTTAATCACCAGTGAACACGAAACAACTAACCAATCACCTCAAAAACTTCAATTACAAAAATTATACTTGTATGGAAACCTAAACCAAACCTAGAAAACAACTAACTGACAAATTTGGATAAGCTCGATTTTGTCGTGTGGGGGAGTCGGAAATCGAGCTAAAATTGTAGAGGTTCAAAACCCTACGAAAAACCCGCAGCGGCAGCAGCAGGAGAGAAACCCTAGAAGTCAGAGAGAGAGAGAGGGAGAGCGAGATTAATTAAAAGGCGTCGTAGAGAGAGACGATGTTATGGTGTTAATGAGTCTCGGGAATTGAATGTATCAATTTTTGAGGCGATTTCATAAACCTGGAAATGTAGAAACCATGTGATGAGAGAGAGAGAGAGAGAGAGAGGAGAGACCGAGTGAGAGAAAGAAAGAGCCACAACAGAGGGAGAGCGCCAGAGCGACAGGCAGACATCATAAAAAAAGATGACACACCGTTCTTTTTCTGTGTTTCTTTAGCGTTTGTTTTGCCTGTGTTGAAATAACATATGTTAACCAAGGTGTTTGGTAACTTGGTAAATGTTTGGGGGTTAAGACCCCAGGTCGTAAGTAGAAAAATTTTTGGGTGTATGGTAGTTGGTCAGGAGGTTAATTTTAAATTGTTGTTATCACAATTTAGTGTGGGTTTAATGTTTTTTTGCTATTTGAGTTCTGATTTAAGCGGAGTTTGTTTTGGAAGGTTGGGACAAGTTTTTAGGTTATAGTCTCCTATCTCGGAACGGACAACAGGACACCTTAGTGATCTCTGCAAGGGGCGCTGCCCTGAACCTGCGAGAGAGTGGGAGGATTTTTCTGTAACAAAAAAAAAAGTTTGGTTTAGAAATGGTTTTTGGCTTTTTTGGTTTTTTTGTGAGAGAAAGAATGTAATGATTATAGGTTAGATGTGATATTTTGTTTTATGAAATTTTTGGTGAAACTCCCATTTTGGGCCTTTTTATTAGGGTAAAGGATAACCCAATCAATTTTTTTAAAAAAAGCCCTGAGTAGGAAATGCCTATCTTAAGAAGGACATTTTATAATTTCTATTTTTTTTATCACAATATTGCCCTTCTATATACACGTATCATACATTTGAAATATTTGAAATCTGAGTTGAAGATCTTGCAGGAACGAAATCGATGAAGACGATCTCCAAATCTGAAAATCACGCAGGAACAAAATCGATGAAGACAATCTCCAAATCTGAAGATCTCGCAGTCGAAGATCTCTCACTTGGTCAACAATAGACGATCTCGCCACCGACGATCAACACTCTCAATTAAACGAGAGTTTCATTGAGATTTGTGACTATTGATCGAGTTTTAGAGATTTTTCTTCTCAATTAGGTATGTTGATTAATTTTTTTATTTTTGTTTGTTTTTTTGTTTTTTTGATTTTTTTTTTGTTGTGTTTGATCTGATTTCGTTTGACAGAATCAGAGTAAAATTTTACTCAGGTTCTATTGTTTTGTTTTTTGTTTCAGAGAATGAGAGTAAAATTTTATTCTAGTTCTATTGCTCTATTTTTTGTTTGAGAGAATTAGAGTAAAATTTTACTCTGGTACGTGCTCTGTTTAGAGTGAGAGTAAAAAATTTTACTCTGGTTTTAGAATGACAGTAAAATTTTACTATCAAGAGGTGGTCATTGCCAAACACTTTAGCCGCCACAAACACTGCCTCCGCTGATGTTGATCATGTTTGTTGCAACTTTTGCTTAGGTAACAATAGTTTAGATAAGCAAAAATTTTGATTATTAAGAAGATAGGGGAGATATGTTCTTTTAAGTTATGCATTTTAGTTATCAATTTTTAACTAGCAAAAAATTGCACCAAACAAGTTCATTGTCTGCAAATAATACAATTTCTATAAAGTACAAATTTACTATGTTGTTAAATGGTTGTCTATGGGTGTGTTGAGCCTGTGGTTTCACAATAAAATTTTACTTTATTTCAGAGTAAAATGTTACTTTTAGATTAAAATTTTACCTTATTTCAGAGTAAATTTTTTTACTTTTGTGCAGAGTAACATTTTACTTTTAGATTCAGAGTTTCATATTTACTCGTTTTTCAGAGTAAAATTTTACTTTTGGATTCTGAGTTTAATAGTAAAATTTTACTTTTCTGTAGAGTCTAACATTTTACTCATTTTTTAGAGTAAAATTTTACTTTTATGCAGAATAAAATTTTACTTTTAGATTCAGAGTGTAACATTTTACTCTTATTCAGAGTAAAATTTTATTTTTATACAGAATAAAATTTTAGGGTGTAATATTTTACTCTTAGATTCAGATTGTAATATTTTATTCTTATTTCAGAGTAAAATTTTACTTTTATGCAGAGAGTGTAACATTTTACTCTTATTCAGAGTAAAATTTTATTTTTATACAGAATAAAATTTTA